AATTAAGGTATTTTTTGTTGATAGAATAAAATTACTAGGATTATTTTACAATAAAGACTTTAAGGTCCATCAATAAATCTTTAAATAATTGTTTTTATTATTTATTTTTTCTAGTCTAAAGCCAACCAAGTTTCTGGAGTACCTCAAGTTCTGTTAGATATTTCAATCTCTGGTATTAACATTCTTGATTGCCAAACAGTTTGTAATTTTATTTTAATTACAGTCTGGATTTCGGTTTTGAATACCCCCTCGTTTCTTTTCACCAAGAGGGTGTTTGAAACAGAGATCTCTAACTTTACAGAAAACACTACTTTTTAAACTTAAGCAAACAGCAATTCATCGCCATTCAATTAATCAAATACAAATTGTTTGCCAAGACAATTTGGATTTAAATTTCTTTTCGTATATTTTTAAAGATGGGGAAGAACAAAATAATTATTATTGTCATTGTTTTTGTGTTTTAACATCTGTTTAGTCTTTTAAATTTTTAAAATTTAAATTTTTTATTTTAAAGTTACTAGCAAAAGAAATAATTACAACACTTGGAGAAGCCTTTAATTTAGCTTATAAAATGGCTTTGCAACAAAATATACCTACAAATATTTAATTAAATTAATTTAATTGCTCAATTATTTTTTTTGTATTTATTAGTTTATTTATAAAAAGATAAAAATTATTTCGATTAATGAATAAAAGTGAAGTAGAAAATTATGTAATTCCAAGGTTAAAACTATAAAACAAATAGATTCTTTCCGGGATAGAAAACGAGGCTTTTTCTTAGTTTCTTTTATGATGCTAGATCTTTGTCAAAACGCAAAGGAAAAGTAAGGATTTTTTCCCAAAATTTGGAACGGATAAGAAAATAATTTTTTTGTAAAATAATTTATTCGAATAAAAAATTTTTTAAAATTTATTTCCTAATAAAATAAAAATTCCCTATTTTATTTAATTAACTTTAAAATTTATTCGATTAAATTTTTTAAGTAAGGATTTTTTCCCAAAATTTGGAACGGATAAGAAAATAATTTTTTTGTAAAATAATTTATTCGAATAAAAAATTTTTTAAAATTTATTTCCTAATAAAATAAAAATTCCCTATTTTATTTAATTAACTTTAAAATTTATTCGATTAAATTTTTTAAGTAAGGATTTTTTCCCAAAATTTGGAACGGATAAGAAAATAATTTTTTTGTAAAATAATTTATTCGAATAAAAAATTTTTTAAAATTTATTTCCTAATAAAATAAAAATTCCCTATTTTATTTAATTAACTTTAAAATTTATTCGATTAAATTTTTTAAGTAAGGATTTTTTCCCAAAATTTGGAACGGATAAGAAAATAATTTTTTTGTAAAATAATTTATTCGAATAAAAAATTTTTTAAAATTTATTTCCTAATAAAATAAAAATTCCCTATTTTATTTAATTAACTTTAAAATTTATTCGATTAAATTTTTTAAGTAAGGATTTTTTCCCAAAATTTGGAACGGATAAGAAAATAATTTTTTTGTAAAATAATTTATTCGAATAAAAAATTTTTTAAAATTTATTTCCTAATAAAATAAAAATTCCCTATTTTATTTAATTAACTTTAAAATTTATTCGATTAAATTTTTTAAGTAAGGATTTTTTCCCAAAATTTGGAACGGATAAGAAAATAATTTTTTTGTAAAATAATTTATTCGAATAAAAAATTTTTTAAAATTTATTTCCTAATAAAATAAAAATTCCCTATTTTATTTAATTAACTTTAAAATTTATTCGATTAAATTTTTTAAGTAAGGATTTTTTCCCAAAATTTGGAACGGATAAGAAAATAATTTTTTTGTAAAATAATTTATTCGAATAAAAAATTTTTTAAAATTTATTTCCTAATAAAATAAAAATTCCCTATTTTATTTAATTAACTTTAAAATTTATTCGATTAAATTTTTTAAGTAAGGATTTTTTCCCAAAATTTGGAACGGATAAGAAAATAATTTTTTTGTAAAATAATTTATTCGAATAAAAAATTTTTTAAAATTTATTTCCTAATAAAATAAAAATTCCCTATTTTATTTAATTAACTTTAAAATTTATTCGATTAAATTTTTTAAGTAAGGATTTTTTCCCAAAATTTGGAACGGATAAGAAAATAATTTTTTTGTAAAATAATTTATTCGAATAAAAAATTTTTTAAAATTTATTTCCTAATAAAATAAAAATTCCCTATTTTATTTAATTAACTTTAAAATTTATTCGATTAAATTTTTTAAGTAAGGATTTTTTCCCAAAATTTGGAACGGATAAGAAAATAATTTTTTTGTAAAATAATTTATTCGAATAAAAAATTTTTTAAAATTTATTTCCTAATAAAATAAAAATTCCCTATTTTATTTAATTAACTTTAAAATTTATTCGATTAAATTTTTTAAGTAAGGATTTTTTCCCAAAATTTGGAACGGATAAGAAAATAATTTTTTTGTAAAATAATTTATTCGAATAAAAAATTTTTTAAAATTTATTTCCTAATAAAATAAAAATTCCCTATTTTATTTAATTAACTTTAAAATTTATTCGATTAAATTTTTTAAGTAAGGATTTTTTCCCAAAATTTGGAACGGATAAGAAAATAATTTTTTTGTAAAATAATTTATTCGAATAAAAAATTTTTTAAAATTTATTTCTAATAAAATAAAAATTCCCTATTTTATTTAATTAACTTTAAAATTTATTCGATTAAATTTTTTAAGTAAGGATTTTTTCCCAAAATTTGGAACGGATAAGAAAATAATTTTTTTGTAAAATAATTTATTCGAATAAAAAATTTTTTAAAATTTATTTCCTAATAAAATAAAAATTCCCTATTTTATTTAATTAACTTTAAAATTTATTCGATTAAATTTTTTAAGTAAGGATTTTTTCCCAAAATTTGGAACGGATAAGAAAATAATTTTTTTGTAAAATAATTTATTCGAATAAAAAATTTTTTAAAATTTATTTCCTAATAAAATAAAAATTCCCTATTTTATTTAATTAACTTTAAAATTTATTCGATTAAATTTTTTAAGTAAGGATTTTTTCCCAAAATTTGGAACGGATAAGAAAATAATTTTTTTGTAAAATAATTTATTCGAATAAAAAATTTTTTAAAATTTATTTCTAATAAAATAAAAATTCCCTATTTTATTTAATTAACTTTAAAATTTATTCGATTAAATTTTTTAAGTAAGGATTTTTTCCCAAAATTTGGAACGGATAAGAAAATAATTTTTTTGTAAAATAATTTATTCGAATAAAAAATTTTTTAAAATTTATTTCCTAATAAAATAAAAATTCCCTATTTTATTTAATTAACTTTAAAATTTATTCGATTAAATTTTTTAAGTAAGGATTTTTTCCCAAAATTTGGAACGGATAAGAAAATAATTTTTTTGTAAAATAATTTATTCGAATAAAAAATTTTTTAAAATTTATTTCCTAATAAAATAAAAATTCCCTATTTTATTTAATTAACTTTAAAATTTATTCGATTAAATTTTTTAAGTAAGGATTTTTTCCCAAAATTTGGAACGGATAAGAAAATAATTTTTTTGTAAAATAATTTATTCGAATAAAAAATTTTTTAAAATTTATTTCTAATAAAATAAAAATTCCCTATTTTATTTAATTAACTTTAAAATTTATTCGATTAAATTTTTTAAGTAAGGATTTTTTCCCAAAATTTGGAACGGATAAGAAAATAATTTTTTTGTAAAATAATTTATTCGAATAAAAAATTTTTTAAAATTTATTTCCTAATAAAATAAAAATTCCCTATTTTATTTAATTAACTTTAAAATTTATTCGATTAAATTTTTTAAGTAAGGATTTTTTCCCAAAATTTGGAACGGATAAGAAAATAATTTTTTTGTAAAATAATTTATTCGAATAAAAAATTTTTTAAAATTTATTTCCTAATAAAATAAAAATTCCCTATTTTATTTAATTAACTTTAAAATTTATTCGATTAAATTTTTTAAGTAAGGATTTTTTCCCAAAATTTGGAACGGATAAGAAAATAATTTTTTTGTAAAATAATTTATTCGAATAAAAAATTTTTTAAAATTTATTTCTAATAAAATAAAAATTCCCTATTTTATTTAATTAACTTTAAAATTTATTCGATTAAATTTTTTAAGTAAGGATTTTTTCCCAAAATTTGGAACGGATAAGAAAATAATTTTTTTGTAAAATAATTTATTCGAATAAAAAATTTTTTAAAATTTATTTCCTAATAAAATAAAAATTCCCTATTTTATTTAATTAACTTTAAAATTTATTCGATTAAATTTTTTAAGTAAGGATTTTTTCCCAAAATTTGGAACGGATAAGAAAATAATTTTTTTGTAAAATAATTTATTCGAATAAAAAATTTTTTAAAATTTATTTCCTAATAAAATAAAAATTCCCTATTTTATTTAATTAACTTTAAAATTTATTCGATTAAATTTTTTAAGTAAGGATTTTTTCCCAAAATTTGGAACGGATAAGAAAATAATTTTTTTGTAAAATAATTTATTCGAATAAAAAATTTTTTAAAATTTATTTCTAATAAAATAAAAATTCCCTATTTTATTTAATTAACTTTAAAATTTATTCGATTAAATTTTTTAAGTAAGGATTTTTTCCCAAAATTTGGAACGGATAAGAAAATAATTTTTTTGTAAAATAATTTATTCGAATAAAAAATTTTTTAAAATTTATTTCCTAATAAAATAAAAATTCCCTATTTTATTTAATTAACTTTAAAATTTATTCGATTAAATTTTTTAAGTAAGGATTTTTTCCCAAAATTTGGAACGGATAAGAAAATAATTTTTTTGTAAAATAATTTATTCGAATAAAAAATTTTTTAAAATTTATTTCCTAATAAAATAAAAATTCCCTATTTTATTTAATTAACTTTAAAATTTATTCGATTAAATTTTTTAAGTAAGGATTTTTTCCCAAAATTTGGAACGGATAAGAAAATAATTTTTTTGTAAAATAATTTATTCGAATAAAAAATTTTTTAAAATTTATTTCTAATAAAATAAAAATTCCCTATTTTATTTAATTAACTTTAAAATTTATTCGATTAAATTTTTTAAGTAAGGATTTTTTCCCAAAATTTGGAACGGATAAGAAAATAATTTTTTTGTAAAATAATTTATTCGAATAAAAAATTTTTTAAAATTTATTTCCTAATAAAATAAAAATTCCCTATTTTATTTAATTAACTTTAAAATTTATTCGATTAAATTTTTTAAGTAAGGATTTTTTCCCAAAATTTGGAACGGATAAGAAAATAATTTTTTTGTAAAATAATTTATTCGAATAAAAAATTTTTTAAAATTTATTTCCTAATAAAATAAAAATTCCCTATTTTATTTAATTAACTTTAAAATTTATTCGATTAAATTTTTTAAGTAAGGATTTTTTCCCAAAATTTGGAACGGATAAGAAAATAATTTTTTTGTAAAATAATTTATTCGAATAAAAAATTTTTTAAAATTTATTTCTAATAAAATAAAAATTCCCTATTTTATTTAATTAACTTTAAAATTTATTCGATTAAATTTTTTAAGTAAGGATTTTTTCCCAAAATTTGGAACGGATAAGAAAATAATTTTTTTGTAAAATAATTTATTCGAATAAAAAATTTTTTAAAATTTATTTCCTAATAAAATAAAAATTCCCTATTTTATTTAATTAACTTTAAAATTTATTCGATTAAATTTTTTAAGTAAGGATTTTTTCCCAAAATTTGGAACGGATAAGAAAATAATTTTTTTGTAAAATAATTTATTCGAATAAAAAATTTTTTAAAATTTATTTCCTAATAAAATAAAAATTCCCTATTTTATTTAATTAACTTTAAAATTTATTCGATTAAATTTTTTAAGTAAGGATTTTTTCCCAAAATTTGGAACGGATAAGAAAATAATTTTTTTGTAAAATAATTTATTCGAATAAAAAATTTTTTAAAATTTATTTCTAATAAAATAAAAATTCCCTATTTTATTTAATTAACTTTAAAATTTATTCGATTAAATTTTTTAAGTAAGGATTTTTTCCCAAAATTTGGAACGGATAAGAAAATAATTTTTTTGTAAAATAATTTATTCGAAATCTTCTTCGAGTCATTTAATAATTTTAATTCTCTTATTTTTTTAGTAATTTTTCCTTCATTTTTATTTAATTTTCTATCGATTTTTAATATATTCTTGACAAAAATTTGATAGTGAAATTAGTTATTTCTATTAGTCAGCAGTTTCTTTTAGATAATTTTAATTTTTAGCAAAAATAATTAGTATTCTAAAATTCAACTCCAAATTCAATTTATTTTTAAAAATAATTTTTAATATTTACTTTTCATTTAAAATTCTCTCATAAATGCCATTTTTTCAATTCAGAAAAATTGAGTGGCTGACAGTTATGTGGAGTTAAGACTATAAATCAAATGGATTCTTTTCGATAGAAAACAAGTCTTTTTCTTAGTTGCGTTTATGATTCCAATTTCTTTGTCAAAACTCAAAGGAAAAAATTCCAAAAAGAGATTTTTTTTTTATTTTCAAAGCCAAATATAGAGAAAATTAATATATTATATATGTACAACATATAATGTATAATCAACAAAAAAATTCAATCCTTTTGTTCTTCTCCATCATCTATTATTTTTTCTTATATTTTTGCTTCAATTTGTTGATCTCCCTAAAATGAGAGAATTATTTTTTATAAAAAAGAACGATCATACTTATAAAGACGCTTTCCCTCAAGTTCAATTTCCTTGCATAAAGTTGAGGCAAACTGAAATTTTCCAAATTATAAAAATATTTAATTTTAAATATTACTTCTCCTATTTCCTCTTCATGTTCTTTTATCAGTTTCTTAGCCCTTTCTGTACATTCATCAACATCTTTATAAATTATATCTTCGCGCTCTTTTTTTAAAGCTTCAGAAGAATTCTTATTAACAATCCATCTGGCAGGCTTCCCATCAAACGCAAATTTGGCTCCCTATAATTAAAAAAATAAAAAAAAGTACTGTAAGAATATTAAAACTTTAGACAAGGCAACATCTCGAACTTTTGCCAAATCTGAAGAACTGAGAATTGATGGTTCTTTTAAAAACAACATTTCTGCGCAATAACCACCAAGTAAAATACTCATATAATTGTCTTTATCTGAGGGAGTGTATAATTTCTTTCCAAAAGTAAATGTGGTATGTCCAAGTAGAACTTCGTTAGCTTTTAATGTGACCTAAATTATGAATAAAAAAAAGAATTTTTAAAATAGGTATGTTACTTTTTTTAACTTAACGCCTAAAGCCAAAGCGATGTAGACGTGGCCCGTTTCATGCAGGGCTAGTCTTCTCATTTCTTCTTCCGAAAGTGATGTGTCGTTAGAGGTTTTTTTATCACCAAAGCATTCAAGAGTCATTTCATCCTCCAGTACCTCTTCACCTGTTGCAGCTAATATTTCATCTTCGTTAAATTTTAGTTCAAATTTGAAGTCATCATAATTAAAGTTTGCCTTAAAAATAAAAGATTATACGGGGGTTTAATACTGGGGTCAAAACTCGTATTATATTCCATTCGATTCCGACTAGAAACCAGGGGAGAAATAGCGAAAATCCTTTCCAGAAAGGAAAACCAGAATAATTACAAAACCCAAAAAAATGAAAACCCACTGAGGAATAAACTCAGTAAAAATTTGTTCATCTAATATATTTAACTATTCTAATCACAATTTGATTAAAAACAATCAAATTAAACAGCAATTTCGAAAAAGCAGTGGAATTGCTTTCTTTTCAATCCAAAATAAATGAATGGAATCGCGTATTATTTAAATACATACATATTATAATACGAGTTTGAACAAGTCTTGTTAACAAACCTTTTTTTTAGGTTGTTCATTTACATCATTCTCTTCATTATTTACAATAACTTCGACTTCCTTAGTTTTATCTTCTTCATAACAAATTTGTGCTTGTTCTTCCTCTTCTTCTTCTGATTTTTCATCTTCACTACCAATTTTACTGTCTTCATTGTTCACCAAAAGTTGAGAGTTGACGAAAAATATATAAATTAGCCAGACAGACCTAAGTAAATTAATAAAATAATTTCATTTATTAATAAAGACGTAAACTTACATAAGAATTAACAAGACAATAACGCCTACTAACCAAAAAATTGCGGACATAATAAATTCGTCACGAAACAATGGAAAAATTGATTAAGGGTTGTCTAATATGAAGATTTATATTTTAAATAAAAATAGACGCGTTTTTATACCCTAAAAATTCTATTTAATATTTAAATATTATATGAATGTTATCTAGTTAGAGATATGTTTGAGGACAATCATAACCAAAACAATAAATAATTTTAAAAGTAATTCTTATGGTAAGAAATAAAAAATGATTATTTTAAGTTTTTAGACAAAAATTTTTGTTATCGTAATTAACCTACGCCAGATTTAGAGGTATAATAGAACAAAAACTATTATATATTCATGAATTTCCTTATCTTATCTTTATCGTTCAACGTTAGAAAAGTTTGGGAAGAAGACTTATTGTTACATAACTTAAGCATAATAATAATAAAAATATGAAAAACAGTACTTAAAATTAAAAATTCTGTTAATAACTTTTAAACAGGGTGGGGGATTTATACTTACATACTACTGAAGTATACATAAATTAAGAAGTTTTTCGACAAAAATTTTCGTTACCGTGATTAATTTACGTAAGATTTTATATTAAAAACTTCTTTGTTAAATAATTAAATTTAAATAAAAATTTAATTGCTATCTTGGCGAAGTGTTTTAAAACTAATTCTTACGGTATATCGTATTTCCTTATCTATCTTTATCGTTCAACATTATAACCTAGAAAATCGAAAAACGAAAAAAATACAAAAATTTTAAATTTGAAAATAATTTGTGGTTGTTCGTTATGTTATGTCTCCGTTGTAGGGTTGTCGGTTTTTCTAAATTCTTCGGTTAAGTGAAACCGAACGGTTAAAGATAAAGGTGTTTTTAAGTTGATTAAGGGGGATTGAAAGGATATCCTTGGATTAAGGAGAAATAATTTAATTTTCGGAAATATGAAGGATTGAGAGATATAGGGGATTTCTCCAAATCCATTGGTATCCCCGATGTACCCCACGATAAAAAATTACTTTTTGGTTTGGGAGAGAACTTTGTTTAGAAGTAATGAGAGATGTGAGCGATAATAAAATTTTTAAAATTGTGTTTTAATACTTAAATCTTGAAATTCCATCATGTACATACTTCTAAATTAAATTTTTTAACTTGAAAGTTAGCATTTTTCAATAGAGGCTTGCTTTTAGACAGTTTAATTTAAAAAACTAGAATGCATGTAGATTTTTTGTAAAATAAAATAATAAACAAATCAGTAGACAATTTAATCCAAAAAAAACTTCCAATAGTTACTTTTATTTATACATATCCTATTATTTTAATTAGATACTAAATATTTTTAAATTTATTTCAAAACAAATGCGGATATTTGTTTACTTCAATTTATAAACAACATTTTAAAAAGTATTTGATGATGGAAAAAATTCTTTTGTTTCCACTTATTTACATAAAAATGGATGGGTAGATAAAAAGTGAGAGTTTATATTTTGAAGATTTTTGTTATAATACATACATTAATGTTTTTAGTAAAATATTTTTGCAATAAACTTTTTTTACTTATTGAAAACTTTTTTTGCGAAATTCCGTTCCGCCCGTGTCGGGACAGAACATGGAACGGATACGACACGGAACGACAAAACACGGTCGGACAGAACATGGAAAAGACAAAACAAGGAACGACCAAAATACGGACCATACCAAAACACGGACAAGACAAAACACGGTTTTAAAAAACACGGAACGACCAAATCACGGAATGACCAAAACACGGAATACTTTTAAAATCATATTTTTTAAAAATCAGAATTTTTTAAATCAGAAATATTGTTAAAAATAGAAATCAAATTTATTTGAATCAGAATATTATAAAAACAGAATTTAAAAATACATAGTTCTGAAAAATTTTAAAAATATTCTCTGGACCGTGTTTTGTCGTTCCGTGATTTGGCCATTCCGTGTTTTGGTAAGACCTTGTTTTGTCATGTCCGTGTTTTCTTATGGTCCGTATTTTGGTCGTTCCGTGTTTTGCCTTTTCCATGTTTTGTCGTTCCATGTTCTGTCCGTTCCGTGTTTTGGCATTCCTTGTTCTGCCCCTCACCCTTCTGCCACCTCCTCTACATTAATGGTCAGAATGTCATATATAGGGTAATAAAAGGTGCTGAAAAATAAAAAGTGGGTAATAAAAGGTGCTCATTTTTTCGGAGATGCCTGTGAACCGAAGTATAGGTCCTCGAAGCTTGAAAAACCATAGAGGGGAGTAAGCTCAATTTTGAGGTGAAGAATTCGAATATGCAAAAAATCGCCTTCAGGGTTTTAGTAAACTTAGATATACACGTACAATTATTTTCATCACGTTATTTTCCTCTATTAATCGGACAGCAGTAATCTAGTCGAAAGTATGGTTTTTCTGGATTTGATCTAGATAATTAGGGGTAATAGTATTCTTTCCCAAAACCCATTCTTTCCTAAAAGTCGGACAAATATTTTAATCAAAATATTTCAAAAAGCTTCCTTGACATTAGTCTAAATTTTGTGCATTATTGTTCCTAATTTTAAACTACAAGTCAGTTTCTATTTAATTAACTTTAGAATTTCTTCGATTAAATTTTTTAAGTAAGGATTTTTTCCCAAAATTTGGAACGGATAAGAAAATAATTTTTTTGTAAAATAATTTATTCGAATAAAAAATTTTTTAAAATTTATTTCCTAATAAAATAAAAATTCCCTATTTTATTTAATTAACTTTAAAATTTATTCGATTAAATTTTTTAAGTAAGGATTTTTTCCCAAAATTTGGAACGGATAAGAAAATAATTTTTTTGTAAAATAATTTATTCGAATAAAAAATTTTTTAAAATTTATTTCCTAATAAAATAAAAATTCCCTATTTTATTTAATTAACTTTAAAATTTATTCGATTAAATTTTTTAAGTAAGGATTTTTTCCCAAAATTTGGAACGGATAAGAAAATAATTTTTTTGTAAAATAATTTATTCGAATAAAAAATTTTTTAAAATTTATTTCCTAATAAAATAAAAATTCCCTATTTTATTTAATTAACTTTAAAATTTATTCGATTAAATTTTTTAAGTAAGGATTTTTTCCCAAAATTTGGAACGGATAAGAAAATAATTTTTTTGTAAAATAATTTATTCGAATAAAAAATAATTTATTCGGAATCGGCTTCGAGTCATTTAATTTTTTAGTAATTTTTCTTTCATTTTTATTTAATTTTCTATCGATTTTTAATACATTCTTGACAAAAATGTGATAGTGAAATTAGTTATTTTATTTTCTAATAGTCAGCAGTTTCTTTTGAATTATTTTAATTTTTATCAAAAATAATTAATATTTTAAAATTAAAAAAAATCGGTTTATTAAAAAAAAATTTTTAATGTTTACTTTTCATTTGAAATTCCCCCATAAATGCCATTTTTTCAAAAATATTCCTAAACGTTTATATTGGCAAGGAAGGGATATTTTTGGATGTTCAGCAACTGGAAAGCCCGCCACTACTGTACTAGAAAATGAGGGAATTTCTTCTCTTAATGAAGGTTAAATAATGATATTTTCAAAAAATATTTAAATTAATTTCCCCCAAGATAATGAAAAGGGTATTAATTCATTAATTAATGCTTATCGGAGATATGGTCATTTACAAGCAGCAATTGATCCATTGAATTTAAGTTGTAGAGAAAGGTAAAAAATTTTTGGATGGATATTGTTATGATAAATGTATTTGGGACTTTACTACGTTGTCATCCTGGAACTTAATTGGTACTATATTATTGTATCCGAAGGACTCCTCAAAAATAGGACTCCTCAAAAAAATTAAAAATTTTTTTTCAAAGAATACCCGAATTAAATCCAAATTTGTATGGTTTAGATAACAATGAAAATGAAGTATTATCTACAATTGAACGTTTAAATAAAATTTATTCAGGCAATATTGGAATTCAATTTATGCATCTAAAAGTTTAAAAATTAATTTTTTTTATTAAAAAATTTTTTAAATTTAAGTCAGTTGAGGAAAGAAATTTTTTTATAAAAATGTTTGAAAATCCTTTAAATGAATTCAAAATTAATTCTGAAGAAAAAATTGAAAGATTAAAATTATTGCTTAAAATGAAGGTGTTAATTTCGTTAAATTTATTTATTTAATAATTTATAGACCTTTGAACAATTTTTGGCACTTAAATTTCCAACATTAAAAAGATATTCTGGAGAGGTATTTATTTAGGTATATTAATTGGCAAGTAGAATATTTACAAATATGTATATGAATCTTAAAAGTATATGGGAATTTTTGAGATAAATTGGAAATTATTGGAAAGAAATGATATAAGATTAAGCTTTATTTATTCTCCAAATATTAAAAATAGATTCTATTAAATAAACCTTTCTAAAGTTTTGGCACTTACCTATTTAGCTATATATTTTTTGTAGGGAGCTGAGACTATGGCTATATTCTTTCACCAATTACTTGAAGATTGTTCTCAATATGGAATTCAAGAAGTTAAGAATTATGTAGAATATTTTAATTATTTTTTTTAAGTTCTTTTGGGGTGGTGCTCATAGAGGCCGTTTAGCCTTACAAAATGTTCTCTTTCAATATCCTACTGGTCAATTATTTCGTAAAGTTATTTTTTCTTTAAATTGAAATTTAATAAAATTAAATACTTAATTAAAGTTATGTGGAATGAGAGAAGCTCCAGAAAATATTTTTGGAATTGGGGATGTTTCTTCTCATCTAGTAATTAATTATATTTAAATTGAAAATAAACTTTTCTTTAAAAATTAGCATTTTGATTTTAATTACAAAACAATTAATGACAACAATGTCCATGTAAGCACATTACCAAATCCTTCACATTTAGAGGCAACAATTGCTACACTTTATGGGAAAGCTAGAGCTAGGGCACAAACTTTAAGGTTCCTTTAAGTCAAAAATTTTATTTTTTTACTTCTTTCAGAATAGGCGATTATGGTGGTCAAGTTGTTGGAGAAGTAGGGAAATAGGAGAAATTGAAATAATTTTTCTAAATATTTTCTTAGGGTATTCTTGCCGTTCATCACCACGGAGATGGTGCTTTTACTGGACAAGTAAACTTTAATTATACATTCGAACTTTATTATAAAATACTCCCATAATTAGTAGATACTCCTCAAATTAGGATACTTTTTTTTAAATTTGTGTTGTTACAATATGGGGTGTCTAAGCGATATCGCCTATTTAGGATACATATGTATGTATTTCATTATAATATGCAAGTACAAATTTTCAGCCCCAAAAATAAAAATCTTAAATTGAAAAATCAGAACAGAATCTTTAATTTCATATAAAATTTAAATTAAGGGAATTGTTTGGGAAGCTCTATCGATGTCTCAAGTACCGAATTTTCACATTGGCGGCTCTATTCATTTAATTGTTAATGTAAGAAAATATAAAAAATATTTATTTTCAATTAAAAAATATTTAGAATCAATTAGCTTTTACTGCAGACAAAACTATTGGACGATCATCAATTTATTGTGGAAATGTTGCTTTAGCTATTGACTGCCCTTTAATTTGTGTTAATGCCGAAAATATTTTGGTCACTTTAAAAAAATAATTTAAAAAGAAAAATAATTTTTAGGAAGTAATTAAAGCAGCAAAAATAGCTTTAAAATATCGACAAATTTTTAGAAAAGAAATTTTTGTTGAATTAATATGTTATCGAAGGTATGGACATAATGAATTGGATGAACCTAGATTTACACAGCCTGTAAGGGAGAAAAATTATTTTTTAATTTAAAAATTTGGTGAAACCTTATAGTAGGGTTGGGCTTAAACGCTTGGGGGCGGTTGTGTCGGGGTACGGGGTTTCGAATTGTTTCGGGGCGGTGTGGGGTAAATTTTATACTCGGTATTATTGTTGTTATCTGCCCGCATTATTTGGGGGAATTACCCAAAATAATTGATTGCCCATTACCCCTTATATGCCCCCCGTCAGATTATTTTTTAACAAATACATATCATCTTTCTTCTACTTTTCAATCAAATTTAAAAATAAAAATTATTTTTTTATTTAAAATTTACACAAAAATTAATTTTAAAATTTCAGAAAATGTATAAAGCTATAGATAAACAAAAATGTTTAGTTGATTGTTTTAAAGAAGAATTAATTAATGATGGAATATTTACTGAAGAAAAGGCGAATTTTGTTGTAAAAGAATATTTAGAGGAATTAAATGAAATACTTTTAAATGTTAATGAAGGGAAAATACCTCCAATGTTTTTCTTTCTTTTTTTTTTTGTAAAAAATCAGATTTTATTAGAATTGATCATTTACGTGGAAATTGGAAAGGATTTAAACAAGCGCCTAAATGTGTTACTAAATGGAATACTGGATTTAATAAAGAATTACTTGAATTAATTGGGGGTACTTCTGTTAATGTTCCCAATGATTTTGTAGGGAGTTATGGATTTTCTTTTTATTTTTAAATGTTTTTTAGTCAATTCATCCAACTCTTGAAAAATCACTTGTTAATTCTCGACTGGAAAAAATCCAAAATGGAAATGTAAAAAAAGATTTTAAAAGATTAATAAAATAAATTCTTAGATTGATTGGAGCACAGCAGAATCTTTAGCAATCGGTTCTGTACTTTTGCAAGGTTTTGATGTTCGTTTAAGTGGTCAAGATGTAGGTAGAGGAACTTTTAGTCAAAGACATGCAATGCTTGTTTGTCAACAAACTGATAAAGTTTATATTCCTTTGAATAAAATACAAGAAGGACAGAAATGTTTTCTTGAGGTAAAAAATAAAGAAATAAATTAGAAAATTTTGGGAATTTAAGGGAAAGGAAAGGGGTGTTGAAGGAGAAATTAATATGTAGCAGGGATTTGTGAGAGAATGTTTTATCTTAATAAGAGCAAGGAGATTGTGGGACCTAAAAGAGTTTTTTGGAGTTAAAAAATAAATACTATAAATATATTAATAATATTTTTTAATTAAAAAAAGATAGCTAATAGCCCTCTTTCGGAAGCAGCCGTTGTTGGTTTTGAATATGGTTTTGCTATTGAAAACCCTAAAAGACTTGTTATTTGGGAGGTTAATAAATTAATATTTTTTAAGATTAATTTTTATTGTTAGGCTCAATTTGGTGATTTTTATAATGGTGCTCAAGTACAGATAGATACTTTGATAGCTAGTGGAGAAAGTTTAATTAATTAATTAATTAATTAGTTAATTGTTTTTTATTTAATTTAAAGGTAAATGGTTTTTACAAAATGGATTGGTTTTGCTTTTGCCTCATGGTTTTGACGGGGCTGGGTGAGGGAATTATTTTATTTTTTAACAATTTTCTAAACAAATTTTTCAGTCCAGACCATAGTAGTGCTCACATTGAACGTTTCCTTTCTCTAACCGATAGTAGCGAATCTCAATTAGTACCTGATGGGGATAATGTAAATATGAGGGTAACAAATCCAACTACAAGTGCTCAATATTTTCATTTGTTGAGGAGACAGGCATTTAAATTTGAAAATAAAATAATTTTTAAAAAATATTTTTAGATAATAACTCCATATAGAAAACCTCTTGTGGTCTGTATTTTTAATTTAAAAATATTCTTAAACATTTCTAATTTTTAAAGATAATAACACCAAAATTACTTCTTCGGCATTCATTTTCTTCTTCGCCAATTGAAGATTTTATTGAAGGAACAAGTTTTCAGCCTGTTTTATTTGACAAAACAATAAAAGAAAATAAAAATATTAAAAAGGTTATAATCTGTTCTGGAAAGCATTCCCTCACACTTTTTAACGAAAGAAGTAAAAGAGAAATTTGTGACATTGCAATTGTTCGTTTGGAAGAAATTTGTCCTTTCCCAGTTGTTGATTTGACTAAAATTTTTGATATTTATTCTAATGCTAAATGTATAGAATAATTTTTAGAAAAAAATTTTTTTTTAATTTTAAAGCTTTTATTTGGTCGCAAGAAGAACCAAGAAATGCTGGATGCTGGCCTTTTATTCAAAATAGATTTAAAAATGCTTTTGGGATTGAAGTAAATACATAATATTAAATGTTTTTATTTTTATGATGACCTTCCAATTAATTTAACCTTCCATAAAATACTTTGGACACCTCGAATTTGTTTGGGTGGTTAGGAGATGTAATTTTTAGATATTTCTCCAGTTATGGGAATATAGGGGCGATAATTTCCACCAATTCTAGATATGTAAATATAATTCTTTTGTTTAGATTTAAACCTGTTTTTTCTACTTTATTTCAAAAAATATTTTCAAGCTTAAATATGCTGGTCGTGCAGAACAAGCGTGGATAGCCACTTCAATTGCTGAAGTACATGAAAAGGAAGTTTTGGATATTTTGGAAGAAACATTTTCTTAAATTTATTTTTTAAAATTTTTTGGCATTTTTTAAATACTAAATAATTATTATTTGATAATTTATTTACAATATATATAGAGATTTTGATATCTTTTTTTGTTGTTAAAATTTATTTTTGTAATTATTAATAAAGAAAAGAATTTTTAAATAAAAGTATTGTCATTATTAATTTAGTTAATTTTTTTGATATTTTGTAAAATCTTTTTAAAAAATTTTTATTTTTATTTTATTTATTTTTTTTGACTAAATTTGAGTTAAAAATATTGAAAAAAATAAATATAATCGCAACCCCCCCCCCCCTCCCCACATATTTTCCTTTTTTTTTAATTTTCTTTTTTACACTCCAAATTCTAAAATAATAATAACAATCACACACACACACACACACAAGAGCATTCAACAATAACAACAACAACAATTCCATTCATTCCCCCTTATTTATTTTGTTTTCCTTTTGAGTTTCTACACCCTCAAAAAGCCCCCTCTTCAACAGCTTGTTATTCCTCCTCCCGTCCTTTATTTATAAATTTATGGGTCAGTCATCCCTTTATTTAGCTTCAATTTAAATTTTTTGTGAACATATTGAAATTAATTAAACATTTTTTATTTATTAAAGGAGAGTAACAGAAGTGCTTTCTCGGTTTCATGAATTACTAAATGCCTTAGATTTTTCGGAATCGGGAAAGCACGACAAGGAGATAAGAGAGAATTTCACTAAACTCATTAAAAAGTCACATCATTATTTATTATTCCTTTTTAAGACAAATTCTGTTCATTTTCTTTATTAATATTTCTACATAATATTTTCTTAGAAATATTTATATAACCAAATCTTGTTTGTAAAACAATTAATTATATAAATATATTAATTTATTTTAAACTGGTATTTCAGTATATTAATAATTTTTTGTTGATTATTTAGTGTATATATTTTTTTATTTGGTCTTTTATCATTCTTTTTTATTAATACGAATTTACTAAATAATTCACTAAATTATTTTACAAATTAAAAAAATTCTTTTAAAAACATAGTTAATCTGCTATAATTTTTGTATTTTTATTTAAATCCCTCTTTAATTTAATTTTTTTTGCTTTTTCTTTTTTTATTTAAAATTGGGTCGAGGAAAGCTTTTATATATTTTAGCTAAAAAGGGATATTCAGACTTTTTATTTTTGCGCGAAATCGGCAATTTATATTTAAGAGGAAGTGGGTGGATGGACAGAGATTGCATGCTTTCCTCAACATTTATTTACTTGTGTACTCTGATAATTGCTCTTTTAAAAGGGCTAATTGTTCAGTAAAATGAGCATTTAGAGAAGCATTATTAAAATAATAAATACATATAAATAATTTTTGGTTTAATGAATAATTTAGAATAAACAATTAATATTTGCTTCTAATATGTAAATATTTAACATTGTAACTAAAATATATTAGGATTTAAGGAGTGTTTTTATCCGCCAAATAATCTATAAAGTTTATTAAATCGCTCCGTAATTTAACGGCAACTCTCTAATTTATATACCTATTTATACATATGTATAAAGTATTTTAAGAAAAACTCCAAAAATAAAATAATATTTACATATATTTAATTTTACTTTAATTTAAAAATTAAATAACGTGAAAATAAAATAATGGAATTTAGAAAAAAAGAAATTGGATATACCTATTATATTTTCTTTTCTCCATTTGTTTAACCAACGGTCAGTTGTTGACCATTTTACTCGAAATACTTGACAAAAAATAAATTGGAAAAAGCTTTTCTGAATTCTTTTTTCTCATTATTTGGCCGCTTTTCCTCCTTTCTTCCAATCCCCCCACACAATTTCCTCAATTCCATTTCGTGTCCTTTCTATTCTTGACTTATTTATGAGATATATATATTTAGTTAGCCTTTTCTCTTTTTTCTCTTTTTTTAAGGTCATCTCTCTTTTAGAGCTTTAAAAAGCTATATATATATATTTTCTTTTTTCCCAATATTTGAAACCTTCTTGCTAATGACTCCAGGGACATTTATATTTTCAATAGAACTAAAAATCCGGACTTTGCTCTTTTTTGTTTAGCCATTTTATTTTTGTTTTTGTTGCAGAATAATTTTTATTAAATTTTCTAATTATTTTTTAATTAAATTTTTGTCTAAGAATATATTTTTCTTTTTACTAATAAAAATAAATTTTGTTTTTATTTTATTCTTGGATTAAAAATAAATTAAAAATAATTTTAAAAAATTATTAATTATGCAAAATAAAAATCTCCATTTATTACTGATTATGCTCTCGTTTGTAATATTTATTTATTTGACAAAAACAGAACAAACTTCGCTCTTATAAATTCTGTTTTACAATCATCTCCACTTTTAATCATTTCTGAATATAAAAAATTCAATCCTGCAATTCTCCAATGTAAAAATAAACAAAAAAAGTCAAAGCACAAATTTTAACCAAAAAATATTTATTTTCATATAATTGCAATTTTATCTCATCAATCTTTGTTTAAATATTTTATGTTGTTTATCAATCTTTTTTACATTAAAATGTTTGTATATAAATAAATACCAACTGCCATTTTTGCTAATAAAAAAACAGAAAGTGCTGCAAATTAAATATTTAATATTTATTTTTATTTCACCAATCTTTTTTGTCTAATAAATATTTGGGGGGAAGAAATATTTATATTTAATGACTAAAGAAATTCTTTATTTCTTAATAGTATTTTGCTTGAATTTACTTTAAAATTTCTGTAGAATTGCCGTTTTCGTGTCAGGCCAACATCTTTACCTTATTTTCCAACCCAAATTTTTGAACCATCCTCAAATTTTAAAATCGTTTCACCTTTCTATTCTTTCAATCCCTTATTTTCCTCAAAAAACTCTCAATTTTAAATTGAACACTTGCATTCCTTTTCTGGATTTTGGAAAAAACCAGCCGCTTAAAAAACAAATATTCTTGTCATCACAAAAAGGCTCGAACTTCCATTGGAATTTGAGATGCTTATTTATCTCTTTAATAAATTGTAGGGTTATTAAAATATTTTTTAATAAATGAAGGACATTTACTATTATGAGAAGATTTAGAAGAGAATATTTTTTCTCCAAATTAGAAAATTGCTCAAATCCAATCATTTTCTTTTAAAATGTTTTAGGTTAAAAATATAAACGTTTGTATATCTGCGCGAATTGATTTATGACATTTTTTGTTTTGTTGGTTGGTCTTTTTTTTGATTATCGACTCAGTAAATACATATACCTATTTTTATCTTTTAGTTTTCTTTCATAGAAGGTGTGATCACAAAAATATATCCAAGTTAATTTCAGAATATTTTGTTAAACTTTTAATATAAGGAAGCATTAACTGTAATTATAATTTATTTTTTGTATTCTCTCTTTTCAATTTGGCCAAATCACCCATTTTATATTCATCCAATTTTTTTGTTTTCACCAAGGCTCTAATTTTCTGCTGCTTTTGTTTCTTATTTACTGCTTGTTTCTTGTTTTAAATAATTTAATGTGCGCATTTTTTTCTGTTAATTCGATTTACTCCTTTCTTTTTACTTCCTTTCCCTCACTTTTATTTTCCTCTTTTTTGTTAAAATTTTATGGGTATATTATTTAAATAAAATTAGTGACAAATCTAATTTTGTAAAGAAAAAGGTTGAAAAAAGATTAAAGAAAATAAAAGCTTTATTTAATTATTTAATTTATTTAAATTAAATTTTAAAAGAAAAAAAGAGATGTTAATAACATTTTTAATATTTTTTATTTATTATTAATTGAACTAAAATTTAAAACAATTATGTGGTTTGAAGACAGAAGCTTGTCAAATATGAAAGTTAGAAATTATTATTTTTTAATATAAATATTAGTTAAATATTATTTTAATACGAACTAATGTCCAAAAAATTACAAAAGCCTTTATTATTATTCCTCTAATTTACCCTGACTAATGAATAACCCTACTTCTTAGTTTCACTGACTGATAACTATTCTTAAGATTTTCTAATTGAACATTAATATGTTGTTCTTTCCCTTCAAAAATATTTTAAGAATTTTAAAATTCCTTAGAAAAAGTTCTAGAAAATGATTTTCCACAATCTTGGAGACACATTATTGTTACTTTCTCTGAAAAAAAGAATCAAATCTCTAAATTCTTTTTGTTACCTATATGTACGAGAATCATTTAAAAATGATTTTCTTTCAATAATTTAATTATTCTTTTTAAAGTTATCTTCTCTAATTGTTGAAGAATGGAGGGATATTTGGTCATCCAAAGGAGAATTTATTGTTGCAGCCTTAGCCTACCTTTTTGGATTTACAAATCTTTTAAATATTCCCCGGCTAATTTTAGATAATGGAGGACGTAAGGAAAAAAAATTTTTTAAAAATTAATTTTTAAATTATTATTTTTAAAGCAGCCTTTTTATTTGCTTATTTAATTAGTTTATTACTAATTATTTTACCTATTCTTTTACTTGAATTGTCTATTGGACAGTTAACTGGGAGAGGGCCTGTACAAACTTTTTATAATATTTGTCCTGTTTTTAAAGGTAAATAAAATTGTTTGAAAATTTTTTTTAAATAATTATTCTGATAGGTGTTGGAATCTCACAAATTTTATTTTCAATTATTTTAATGGTAAGTAAATAATAATTAACTTTCAATTGTTAAATATTGTAAGCATGATTCACCTAGAGCATTTAAAACGCTTAGGCGGGGGTTAAACGATCTAAAAGGATTAAGGAGAAAGTCGTTGCCCCGGTAGCTGTGCTCCTGTATGTGTTAACTACGAGGAGGTTCAGTGTGAGAGGTTTAGTGTGTGATACATATTACTTTTGGGGTGTTTTAACTTGAATTTAGAATAACGATGAAGTTAAAATAGTACAGAGTTTTAAAATAATTTTAACATTTTACAGGCAATGATGACTCGTTTTCTAGGATCTGTATTTCTTTATATTTTTCATTTATTTTGGACAATTACTGATGACCGTCCTGGTTTTTGTTAATTATTTAATTTTACTAACTGTTTAATTTAAAGGACTTCCTTGGCTTAATTGCAAAAACTTTCCCGAATATCAATTTGGAACTTGTATTGAATCTTCCTCTATTTTACCAATAAACAATAATTCAACTAATTTTTATCAAAATAGATTAGCTACTTTTGATGAAAATTCTGCTTTTGAACAATTTATTGGGTAAATTAAAAGAACATCAAAAGATTATTAATTCTTAATAATTTTAAAGAATTATTGATGTAACAAGTGAAAGTATTGACCAAATAGGCAAAATCCAAATTAATTGGTTAATTGTTCAATGTATAATTTGGGCTTTTGTTTTTTCTGGAATTTGTTTTGGTGTTAGATGGCTGGGGAAAATTATGATTGTAAATGCTCTGTTTAGAATTTAAATTTTATTTTTTCCCTTAAAGTTTTCATTATCAATGTCACTAATTTTGCTTTTATCTCTTTGTGGAAGAACTTTATTCCTTAAAGGAGCATTTCAATTATTTTTTGATTTATTTAACGAAATTGAATGGTGGGAAAGATTAAAAGAATGGCAATTATGGAAAAAAGCTGTTGAACAGGCATTTATTGCTACAGGGCTTGGATTTGGGGCTTTTTGTACTTTGGGGTCTTACAATAAAAAATCAAATAATTTAGTAAAGTAAGTTTTTTTTTCAAGGGATTTTTTGGATAAATTGTGGGAATGATGTAGGCGAGTGAAATCGGCAGCACTGCCGAGCTATAACTTCCTCAAAATGCTACAGGGATCGATGTGTGCTAATGGTGCTTTGATTTTGCTCTTGATCATGCTCTATGCACGATCGATGCGCCTCGACGAGCATAATCGGACCATACCAGGGCATCCCTAATCTGATAATTTTGAAAAAAGTTATAGTTCGGCGTACATAGAGTTCGCTACATCGGGGGCGTACCCAGTGGGATCATCTCTTGGGTTAGATCTCTACTTTTATTAGATGCTCTTTTGTCTTAGATTATCCAAAACTGATGACAGTTTTTTAATTTTTTTATTTTAATAGAGACAGTATTTTCCTCTTATTTGGACATATTCTACTTGTATCACTTCAATTAATTTTTGTTTTATCGTTAGTTGGACATATCAGTGAAAAGAGTGGTCTTTTACCTAGTGAAATTATTGTTCAGGGTATCTCCTAATTTTAATTAAAAAATTAATTTTTTAATTAAAGGAGAGAACCAATTTAGACAAATCCTTGTTTATTTCTCTTTTATTCCACACACAAAAATATTTACGGGAATTCTTTTATTTTTGGCCTCTTTTTCTCTTTTAAATATTCTTGTAAGTTTATTTTTATATAAAGTAATTAAAATTTTATATTTTTTAAAGTTTATTTTATCCTTTGGTGTTCTAGCAACAATAGAGGATGCTTTGGGGGAAAAATGGTCAAAAGTAGGGACTTTTAACAGTTATAATTTTATTTTTACTTTTTAGTGTTGCCCTCGTTTTACTATTGCTTTTTTAATTTGTTGCTTTGGAGCTGCTTCAAGTATTATTTTTGCTACAGAAGTATGTAATTATTAGTAATTATTAATAATTATTGCTAGATTATGGGGGATTTTTTTGGAATAAATAATTTATTAAATTTATTCAAAATTTATTAAAAATGGGATATTAGTTGATGTATTTGCCAATTTTTTATGATAAATAAAATATAGAAATCATTTTTAAAAAATATATTTAGGCAGGAAAGCATATTTATGAATTAGCTAGTGGATATTTAAAATATTCAACTCTTTTGGTTATTCTCTTTTTTGAATTGCTTTCTGTTGCTTGGATTTATTGGATACACTCATTGGGTTTAGATCTTCGAACAATGATTGCCTCAACAGCAAGTTGGATTATTGGACATTCTCTTCTATTCTTAAATTGTTTTTTAACACCAATACCAATTGTTTGTTTTCTTAACAAAAAAAATTTCAAAAAATTTTTTTCAGGCAATCGCCATCATAAATCTAATTGGATATTCATTTTCTAAATATTCTCCCCAAATCAGAGCTTGGTATTGGAGTGAATGGTTAGGTGTTTGTATTGCAATAATCCCTTTACTTCCAATATTGTTTTGGGCATTACTTGTTATTTTTAAAAGTTGTAATTACACACCAAGAATTTCTCTTTTTAGGGTAAAATTTAATTAAAAAAAACCAAAAATGATTTTAATTTTAAGCGTCTTTCAATGGCTTTTCGCTCTCCTTTAAAACACGAATTAATTAAAAGTAATGAACGTTCATCTACTGCTGTTCAGCATAGATTAATGAGTTCGGGTGGAAATACAAACCAAAATAACCAATCATCTTATCGTGGTGCTTCTACTGGATATATATTATTGCCACAGGCACCATTGGTAGTTAAAAATTAATTTTTGTGCCGAACGCCAGATCAAAATAATATTTCTTTTAGATACCTTTTAAATTCTAGATCTGAAAATTTAGGATTTTGCCGTAAGACCCATTCTACAACCGATACTAGAATATTGCTAAAACATATTTTAATATGAGTTGATCTAGTAGATTGCCGTTTTTAGGAAAATTTTTGAAAGACTCTACAAATAGCCTAGTATAAGCATTGATATCCTCTTAGAATCGCTCTCATCTTTTCAAGAGACATAAGTGAAATACTAATCTACTTTAGAAAATTTATTAAATTTTCTCTCCAATTTCAATTTAGGCACAACCAGAAAATGATGAAGTTGCAGGCCAAAGTAGCGCTCGCAATCATGGAATCAATCAACAACAAACAAACAATTCAACAGCTTCTACATTACGCGCGGCCGACAATACAAATTCTCGAAACGGAAGTGGTTATCTTATTGACGATTATATGCACCAACAACAATCGCCTAGTGTTTAATAACAAAAATTTTATATTTTTTATATTGTATAAAATTTAATATCAAATCAATGAAAAGTTTATTAACACAATACTCATCCCAGTTTTATATTAAAATTCCTTGTCAAAATTAAATTATGTATCTTATTTCGTTTGTTTTTAAGTTTTTTCTCATTAAATTTCGCATAATTATTTTTCAATAAATTATCTGAAGTTCAATTTGTTAAATTTGTGGTCTTTAATATAGGTGCTTTTATTATTTCACCGGGACAGGCTCTTTCGTTTAGTTTTTAGGCTAACAAAAGAGAAAGATTCGAACCAATCCATTTGTGAAAAGTGGATTACATTCGCTAAGAATTACAGTATTCTCTAAAATACATATGCTGAATGGAGCTCTTCAAGGTTGCCCCGTTAGAACTACCTCCCCCGTTACCGGAACAACTTCCCCCGTCATTGGAACAACATCCCTCACTTTTGGAACAACTTCTGTTGTTGAACAAAATTCCCTGTAGTACGCTCAACTGTCCGTGCTCAACTGGCAACACACTCAAATTTCCACGCTCGTCTGGCACGCTCAACCGGCCACGCTCAACAGGTCCGTTCCGTTCTCAATCGTGCGCGCCCCTTTTGAGGTGTACGGTCTCGACATCTGAAACTTTCAAATTTCTAGAAAACAGGATTAAAAATGACAGACTTATTGTTAGCTTACGAACACTGTAAACAAAAGAAGTTAACAATTATTATTTTCCCTTTATTTAAGAAAGTGGAAATTCTCTATTGTATTGTTTCCTAAAGACTCAAATAGTTGACAATGGATTTTTCTGTCAGCTGGTTATAATTTCTCGCTTTCTCTCACTCCTTTGTTTCTCTAACATTTACAAATTTTCAATGAGGTTGAATATGCATGTTTTCACTAAATAATGATTATTTGGTCTTTGGTTTCTTAGTTTTCCGTTTTTCGCATAGTATTTCAGCACTTTCCAGATCAAATATTTTTGTATTTATAATTTGTCAATTTAGTTTTACAAGTTCTCATTCATACATTGAATTAGCAATTTTACTTTTTTTTTATTTTGCAACATTCCATAAATTTTTAGAGATTTATAAATTGTTTAAACTTTTTGACATTATTTTCTTCACTTAAACAATTATGTCATTCGATCTTGATGCAGCAGAAAGGGCAGCATATGCACCATTCTTTGGATATATTGGAGCGGCATCTGCCCAAATCTTTACCGTTTTTGGTGCGGCTTATGGAACTGCGAAGTCTGCAGTTGGCATTTGTTCGATGGGTGTAATGCGACCCGAGCTTATAATGAAATCTGTAATTCCTGTAATTATGGCAGGTTTGAATATATTTTGTGAACATTAGATTAAATTAAATTTTGAGGTATTATTGGTATTTATGGTCTTGTCGTTGCAATGGTCCTGAAAGGAAAAGTTGGACCAGCTAGTGCAGGATATACACTTGAGAAGGGATTCTCACATTTAGCTGCTGGACTTACTTGCGGACTTTGTGGACTCGGTGCTGGTTATGCCATCGGAATTGTTGGCGATGCTGGTGTCCGTGGAACTGCACAACAGCCTCGTCTTTTCGTCGGAATGATTCTTATCTTGATTTTCTCTGAGGTTTTTGTAAATAGTTTTTATATTTAATTTTAATCTCTTTTCTAGGTGCTTGGACTTTATGGCATGATTGTAGCCTTGATTTTGGGTACAGGATCTTAGATGTTTACTTCTGCAGATTTTCTTTCATCGACATTCTGATGCCCTCTCCACTTCCCATTTTAGTAGTGTTGTGCTCGTGCGATTATTTTTAGAAGTGATAAAAATTAAATTTTAGATTCTCTTTTTTTTTCTTGAATTCTATAACAATTTTGAATTTCAGTTTACACATCTCCCTTCTTTAAATTTTCGCACGTTTTCCTTTCCTCACATTCTTATAAAGAAGCGTATCATAAACACTTAAAATAAAATCTTGAACAAAAACGCTCTCTATATTTCTTATAAAAATGACACCATTATATAAATTGTTCGATAAATTCTAAATGCTTTGTTTTTCTGTTTCACTGATAAAATGCTAATTCCCACAATTTTTTGGTAATTTGATTGGCATATTTAATCCAATAGTTATTAATTGAAATTGAAAGAATTAATTTAAAGCCAAATACAATTATAAATCTAGCAGATAATGATACCTACAAAATCTTGTAGTCTTACAAAGAATTTGATACCGTTGACGGATAAAGCACCAAGGGCGGTTTTGACATGGAACATGCATGAGAAAGTAAGGCGAAACAAGGAGATTTGGGACGACCCAGATTCAATTGTCCACAGATTGCCAAAACACTATCAAAGAGTTTTTATGTTGTTTTGGTTGTTTTAAACCTTTTTTTCAGAGATATTGGAAGAATTTTGTGCTTTCTAAACCTGCTCCAGTTCATTATACACCGCCTGAGTTTAGATATTACTGGGATACTAAGAGGAATGTTCAACTTGAGACTGAGGTTAGCTTTTATATGTATAGTTAGACTTCGATGGGAAACATGCCTCAGTCATCTAACGTTCAGAATCTGTTGTAGTTGACACCCCATTTGACTCATGCTTTTTTGGGCTCTATGGAATGAGTGACGGGATCATATTTTTCCTCGGACGGTCATTTTTCCGTAGTTTGTAACGTCTTGATTTGTACATTTTATTTATGGCTATTTTTACTATTTCAAACTTTTTAGGAATATCCAATTCTTCCATTACGTTGTCCTGAACAAGATCAAGGGCTTTGGGGTGGTGAAGGAGTTATTAAAGGTTATAGAGAGTCAAATCCTAAACTTAAAAAGAAGATACTCCCAAGACTCTGGATACCTAAATTGTGGACTCCAACTATCAAAAGTGCATTACTCTATTCAGAAATTCTGGACATTTATATGAATATTAATGTTACTGATAGAGTTCAACGACTTATTGATCAACATTTTGGCTTGGATTTATATTTACTTGAAACACCAGATGTTGATATAGACTCGAGACTTGGCATTGATTTGAAAAGACAACTTTTGTTAGCATTGGCAAGTAAGGTTAGAAATTTATTATTCAAAAACTTTTCGTTGTTTACTTGAAATTTTCAGAACTATTATCATAATGATTCCGTCCGTCAAGAATATATCGCGAACAAGTATTCTCGGTTTGTTATACCTTTGGAAGAAGCTGAATGGTATGGACTTGATTTGAATACCGCTTGTCGAAAGCTACAAGATATTGAAGATAATAAAGAACCAGTCCCACTAAGGAAACTATTTTCGGAAGAACTCATCTCTGAAATTAAAAAGGGTGTAAAAAGTGAAGTTGTTCCTTTGGAAGAAGCGGAGGAAGAAGAGGAAGGTTTAACTTATGAGAAGGATAAATGGATTGGATGGAGGATATAATTTTGTTTATTTTATTTCATCTTGTTTTAATTATAGAAATTTCTGTTTAGGGTTTGTTTTTGATAATAAACTGTCGAAATTTTTTTTAATTTTATTTTGTTTTTATTTTATTAAATATTTAATAATTTTGACTATTTTTCTTTCATTGGATTTCCAAAATTTTATCTTAAAATTTTAGTTTTTATAATAAAAATTTTAGATTATAAATAAACAGAATGTCTCCTTCAATCTCTTCAACAAATGAAAAGCAACAGGCACAAAAGTATAAATCGCAAACTTCTGTCATGTACAAACGTGAGCCTGAGAAGAGGTATATTTTATTATCTAACATTAAACTGTCATATAGGGGATAACTTCTATCTAGTTGTGTTTCGGTAAAGTGTTTATGTTAGTATTTTTAGTTCCCGATGGCCTCTTATTCTATTTTTAATTTGCAGTGATATAAAATTTATTTAAGAATTTTTGTCAACCGTTCAATGAAGTTGGATAAGATCCAGTTTTTTGGTTTTGATATGGATTATACATTAGCAGTTTACAAATCGCCTAGGATGGAATCGGAAGCATCCAGTCTTGTTCTCGAAAGGCTGATCTATATTGGGTATTTATTGTTATAAATTTTGTGATTAATGTTCTAAATTACCCATTCTAAAAATAATATTTTTGTAGATATCCAAAGGAGATTCGTAATTTCAAATATGATCCAGCATTTGTCGTTCGCGGGCTCTGGTTTGATACAATGTATGGCAATTTGCTTAAAGTGGATGGTTTTGGAAATATTTTGGTTGCTGCTCATGGACTTGTTTTTCTTACTGGGTAGGTGATGTGCAAGAAGAAAAAATAATTTTTCTTTTAAGGGCGGAGATTGAGAATTTTTATCCAAACAAGTTTATTCAACTTTCGGATAGAAGGATTTATGTATTGAATACGCTTTTCAATCTTCCTGAAACCAATTTGATTGCTCTTCTAGTTGACTTTTTTGATAAATCAGAGGAATACCAGCTGTGAGTTTTATTCATTTTGCTTAAAATTTAGTAGTTGTGGAATAATTTTATTCAATTTTTAGAACTCAAGACAAAACAGGCCTTCGACATGGCGATGCAATTATGTCTTATAAATCAATCTTCCAGGTTTTGTTACTATGCAATAGATCTTACTCTCGCTTTTAGGATATTCGTGGAGCAGTTGATTTTGTTCATGGCGTTAGTTTTTATTATTTTTGACATCATAGATTTTTAAATTTTGTCTTCAGGCTGATGCAGATTTAAAGAAAAAAGTGATTTTAAATATCGCTGATTTCGTTGAAAAAGATCCTCGTATTGGCAAACTGCTTGTTCAGTTAAGAGTTTCTGGACGAAAAACGTTTTTGCTTACAAATAGTGAATATGAATATACAAAAGTTTATTTTAATTTTTAAAATTATTATTTAAATAAAGTTTAGGCTGTTATGACTTTTCTTCTTGGAGATAAATGGAGAGATTTTTTTGATATAATTATTGTAGATGCTAGGAAGCCTTTGTGGTTTGGAGAAGGAACTGTTTTTCGCGAAGTAAATATAGAAACTGGAGCGTTGAAAATCGGAATTCCAATTGGTCCCTTGCG